GGAAGCACTGGACGACCGTTTCGTCCTACTGTGTGATTCTTCAGCAGTGCACATCTTAGGTTTTCCAGTTTTAAACATATTTTTAAACTCTTTAAAAAAAATATACGGTTTACTTACATTATGCAATGCAGACATTTGTTTACTAAAAATGATACAAATAATGATGAAATGTGGGAAATTGTTACTATGCCTATTTAGACCAATCAAAACTCATATGTTATATGGATAATTTTGAAATCCAATAAATTTGTTTATTTATCTTTTAGTTTAAATTTGGACAAATCAGATGAAAGAGAATTCTTTGGGAATATTTCAATAGACAACCATATGTTTATTAGGAATAAAGAGTTACATGGGATGAACATTATAATATGCTTACATGTTACGCTATACTTCTCCTCACTCTTTATTCAGAAAAAAAATCTACTGTTTTGTTTTCTTATTTTTGACTCATCAAATGTGTGTGTGCCTACATACAGGTGTTTATTGTTGAGTCAGCTGTCCGAGAACTGCAACGGAACCTCCAGAGGCCCTAAAGGGTCAGAGACTCGAAATCAATGCGTTTTTGTTCAAACACTAATGCTTTATCCATTGAACACTCACTTGGTCGTAAAATATACTGACAATGTATGACCAAGATCATGAATCGATTGATGTGAGACTACTACTTAAAACCTGAAAGCACTGGACTGAGGTTTCGTCATTTTATGGGACTCCTCAGTAGAGTGCATCCACGATCCGGCCGGCAAGATTCGAACCCAGGATCTTCGGTCTCGCGCGTGAACGCTCACCGTCTTAACCACTGAGTCGCGCAATTTCGTGGATTGGTTGAGGTTAGACATTAACACCATTGGATGCCAGCCGACTCAGTAGTTTAAATGATCGAGGGTTTTGGGTTCGAATTTCGCGAGCCGTATCATGGATGCACACTGCTGAGGAGTCCCATAATAAAACGAAATGGAGGTCCAGTGTTCCAAGGTCTTCAATGGTGGTCTAACATCAATCGATTCATGATCTCAATCACAAACTTAATAATCTCCACAACCCTATTTTGATAAAGTATGATCGAAAGTCAGTTCTAAACATCGACAATCGGATAATACAGACTTTTGCTAATAAAATATAGATGAACATCTGACTGTTTTTTTGAAAGTGAAAATTAAGGAAATAATTTGAATTATTCTCTGGTTCGCGTTTTTTATAGTGATTTATCCAGGATGGGGTCACTAACCTCATGCCCATCCCTCCTCATTTATCTGGGCTGGAGACCGGCAGTAGCCTCAGAGGGACTCCAGACGAAGTTTAAAAAAAAAATTAATACATAAATAATGTATGATTAGTTTAATCCTGCTACTTTTAAATAATAATCTTGACTTCAGACGTTGATCCGGGTAATTTTGTTTGTGTTAACAAAACATGAAAAAATCATTGTCATCATAACTAATGACAATCAGCTGTGATATAAATAAAAAGTAATTTACATCTACATTTTACATACTATTAAATGATGAGATCTATTTCAAAGTTATCTATTCGATGAAAATGTTATTAAATACGTAGAATATATAGCATGTTGCGAGTAGTGAAATCCAGTACTTGCGTTTCATTCAAATTGGTAGTGGTCAGCTAGATGTACTCACATCTTAGAGTCGGTTTCCGCATATTACATGAGAGGACTATGATGTTCCAGACTAGGTCATTCTACCTAGAAGTGCATTCTAATATGGTAAACTTTATTCAATCGAATCTCATGGGGAAGTAATGTTTCATCCCAGTTTTCCAGATACTGTTTTAAAAACATCACTTGCAACCACACACTTGTTTATAAACCTTGATCAAAGATTAAATAATATACAGGAAGTCAAACCTCATTAGTTATATGTTTTTAAATAAATGCTACACTTCATAAACAATACTGCAAGAAAAATCTAATAAGTGCATTGAAGACTAAGTGATTTGTAAATATAACACTGAGGTTGAAGTCACAAAAAGGCTTATTCAAATCCTACTCCACCAGTTTTAGTTGCATCAAAATGGTGATTCGACAAAGTTGGTGAACCTGTACTTGGATAGAAACCTTCTATATTTAAAGTTCACACGGAAGAGAGAAGATGGTAAGTATAAAGAGTCTTACTTTACAAACAAACTTATGTAGACTTTAAAAAAAATACTTATAGGCTTACAAGTAACTTTGATATTCTAGACGTTTTAATGTTACGAAATTGGCAATTGTCCAGCCAGAGCATGACACAATTTATAGAAGTCTGGCAAATTCCTATTGAATGCCGATTCAACGAGGCATATAAAAATTTCACCTGGTTCCTGAAGACTCTTTCCAGGAATTCTCACTGTCAATATCTACAAAAAGTCGCTAAATACAGACGAGACCTAGGGCTTTCCGGCATATATACCGAAAGAATTTATCTTCATGTATTGATAGATTTTTCATAGCTAAATTTATTGCAGGTAGAACTAAAGTATAGGGACGATCTTGTGGGATCCTAAAAATAATCCTTTAAAACCTCAAGCACTTATCCTGTTCAAAATTGGGTTAGCAATTAGAATTAGGGATTATGATTGATACTTGAGGCTAGACGTTTGGACAAGAAATTAAAGTTAAGATTCCCAACTCGAACTGACATCAGCTATAATGTAAGAACCCTATCTGCACAAATTCCAGAGGTGCTATCACAAATTCGATCGGTTCTTTCCCTTTTCCTTTAATCGCACAGTATTACAAAGAGATTCGAAATATTAGCTGTGAGCTGAGTTGTCTCCTTGACAGAAAATAACCAAAACCTTGTCGTTTTTACCGTGATAAAACTACTAGTGTAGACTTCTACGAAAATGATGCATAGAGTGGTGAAATCAGAATTGTTTCCGAATTTACCCAGTAGTACGTCTTCCGATTCCCCTAATACCTTCATTATGTAATTATTCACACATATAAGATACTAGGTGCAGCAGGAAGTTACTTAACTGTTAATAACGTTGAGTCACACTATATTTTCCAAATTATAACCGATCTGAAACCAAGTACACCTATATAATACCATCCACTTACAAATGAAACTGATTTATTAATTAATAAACATTTACATTGTACTGAACGAGAACTTCAGGGGGGAAACCAATTTATTCTTCTCAGCAAAACTACACAGTTCCTCAGTAAAATATGAAAATCATACACGATTTGCACATATTCCCTCAGTTGTCCTTTATATACTTTATAGTCCTTTCAATTTCATTGTTATTCTAATTGCTGTTCTCCTCAATTCATGCTAGCAGACTTTCCACTTCCCATCGCTGCTACATATTACTTATATATATCAGCATAATTAGCATACAGCACAATCTTATTTAAACGTTTTATGAAATATGAACAAAATCAATCATATAGCTATTCGACTTCCAAAATATTTGGTTGGACTTTAAAGATACTCATTTAATTCTCCTTGGTCGTTTGAACAGCAATTCAAAAGATTAAGTTTTTTTTCATACTTTAATTGGATCACATTGGACAAAGGATGAAGATAACTAATTAGTTTTTTTGGAATATATGTTACCTTCGACAATCATCAAAACTTAGTGTAAAAACAATAACCTTTTGCAAATGGTCTTTTTTTCGCACAATATTTAAAAAGGGTACCAATGTACAATGAACTGGCCGTCTTAAAAATTGCTCGAGTTATAAACATTCATTTCAGATAATTGCTCCGGATTTTAAAAGATAAGGAAAAGAAATAGGTGCATTGAAACAAATGAAAATTCCGGACTGGTGATTCAACTACAAATCTAGATGGGTTTTTCGATTGAATACTCAACTGTATACAAAAAATCAACCTGTTTACTACGATTACAGTAATCGCGAAGCCGTCCTTTTGCGACTATGGTCAAATTATCCATATGTATAATTATACATGAAAATATTAATAGAAGTGAAAGGCTTTTGTAACCACCTGGAAAGCCAGTTACCTAGGCACCAGGATTTTTATGATACTAAACACAGTATTCATCCTGATGATAATAATCCCTGACTGACCTCAGCCGGGGTGTGACAAAAAATCATTCAATTTCGAACGGCTGTTTCGTCTATGTATGGTGCTTTTCAGAAGCACACACCCACGACATCATGGTTGATCAACTCCAGGACTTTCAAGTCATGCAATAGGGACTGAAGCACTGGTATGTTGATCGGATCATAGATGAACACTGATGAAAAATCTTATTTTTGTATTCCACAACTAACCCATACTATATGGTTTTTAATGATACTTTAACTACGGTTATTCTATGACGAACACTATTTAAAAATTGAAATAATCTCCCTATAGTCACTTCATGCATGAATTGTATTTAATTATTGAGGTTCAGAATTTAGTACACAAACATCTTTATATGCAGACTCCTCATTGCTAAAAAACGTTCGATAGACTAACACAAAAATAATCCCAGACATCTGTAAAACGTATATAATCAAACGGAACTCCATATGATTACGTTAGAACATTAAAATTACTTAATGATAACAGGCGAATCGATATACCTTTTTCTTGCATTTTAGAACAGCAGGCTTGCTATGATACCGGACACAAGTCCCCAAGTTGAGATATAACTATTTGTTAGGTGACTACAGACTTTTGTACTGAGATGTCTACAAATAGAACATACTAATTAGCATGTGATGATGATCGTTTCAGAAGTTTATTTATGACAATAAAGGATTGACTGTGAGAATCCTATCAAATACGATTAGCTTACATTACCTATCTTTTTTGATCTTACCAACCAAAACAATAAACTACAAAATCCAAAAGTCTATTGCAAAACAAACAGAAAATACTTCGACTTATTTAAGTACTTTCTGTGAACTAATCACGAGAGCGAATGCTTAATCTCTAAACCACTAAGTCAGAACCCAGCCGTGCTTAGATCGAATCGTGAATTCAGCTGAAAATACTACAATCTCCACAAATCCCCATAGTGATAAAAGTTTACTCTGATTTCTAATAAAGTATATATATATATACAAAATCATTCAAGTTATCAAATGAATAATCAATGATTTGGTTTTATTTTCTTATTATTAACATTTTCACATTTATTTGATTTTGAAGAAAATTTGGCATAGAAACGATGATACAATTGTTGTAGGTCTACCAAAATACTTAGATAAACAATATAACCAATAGAACGATACCATTTACTATAATAAGAAAACAAAATGGAAAGAAAGAATGCATGATCGGTTAGTAAAATTAACACAGCGACATTGAAATAAGATGATGGTTGAAGGTTTTATTTACTTAAATACATAAATATTGGTACAAGGAGGCACCAAATACATATGCGCCACATGAATCATTCGATTTATGTGAGGGCTAGGATACTTCCCGGGGACCTAAACCGAACCAGGTGGTTTCTTAGGGGACCCAAATGCCCTGGTACGGCCGAGAGTGGGGAGAGTCCGCTCTCCCTCTCGAAATACTCTCACACGGCCACGCGTATATAGCCTCTGCCAGGGAAGTCCTACTCACTGCCTTCTCGTGGCGGGGGTGTTGTTTACGAAAATGAGAGGACGAAAAGCGAATGTCCGGCGCTTTAACCGGATCACAAACCAATGGTGCACATGGGCTCCAGTATCCTGCGGGAACAAATGGCGAATGAACCAATTGTTGGTCACCGGCTTCCATGGGACTGCATCTCCTTACGATGCTCCACTGCCTTGTGGATCAGACCTTCAGGTCGAAGGCTCGGGGTGTGGTTCCCTAAGAAAACCACCTGCTTCGGTTTGGGCACCCGGGCAGTATCACAGCCCTCACACACATATCGAATGAAATTTGTGTGGCGCATATGTATTTGGTGCCTCTTTGTACCAATATCTATGTGTTGAAATAAATAAATAAATAAATAAATACTTAGGGGACCACACCACGAGACTCTGACCTAAAGGTCTAATCCACAAGACAATGGAGCAACGTTAGGAGATACAGTCCCATGGTAGCCGGTGATCAATAGTTAGTTCACACGCCATTTGTTTCCTTGGGATTCTGGAGCCCATGTGCACCGTTGATTTGGAATCAGGTTTTTCCAACTCCCTTAGGTGAATCCTCCGTATCCATTAAACTCGGTTAAAGCGCCAAACAATAACTTTTCGTTCTCTCAGTCTCGTAAACAACACTTCTGCCACGAGAAGGCAGTGACTAGGACTTCCCCGGTAGTGGTTGTATGCACGTGGATACTTGAGAGCATTTCAAGAGGGAGAGCTGACTCTACCCGCTCTCAGCCGTACTAGGGCATTCGAAGGCCGGTTGGAGGTAGTCAACAGGAAACCTCCAATCACCATCTTATCTCAACATAATGCACGCGATTTCGAGTCACCTAGACTAGTAGCCACATTGCAGCTTGGTCGATAGCATTCGATCTGCACTAAGAAGGACCTAACGTTGATCACCACTCAGTGATCAATCAATTGTGAACAGCGACATTATACACAGTTGGGAAAAAAGTTCGGCGAGACTATAATTTATGGACGAAGTAAACAAGTATAAGATAATAGGTCTCGGATTTCGGCGCGAAATTCAGCCATCTATTTGTCAAAATAAAGTTTCGGCATTATAGCTGATGTCAGTTTGTGATGAAAACCCTAAATGTAATTCTTGACTTTAACCATCAACTGTAAATCATAATTCTAATTCCTCACACTGGTTTATAACATTCATTTGGTCCTAGTTATTAGGTGATTTATTTACTATATTTCATTTCAACACATAGATATTGGTATAAGGATATGAGTGTGGGATGTGATACTGCCCGGGTACCCAAACCGAAGCAGATGAAGACTCCCAAGGTCAATTTAGCGTCACTCAAAGGTCGTCCATAAATTATAGTCTCATCAAAAGTTCTATCACAAGATAATAGTGTTACCGATGGATTTTACAGTGAATGTTAAAAATAATATTAATCAACTTTCATAATTTTTTTAAAAGGTTATAATTACTAAATAGATGCAGATGTTTGAATAGTTGAGATTAAAATAATATTTAGATAAAATGTATAGTTCTTGTGAGTAATTTACTTCAAACAATCAGGATAACTTCTACAATGATGCATTATTAAGCGAGACGTTCAGTTACAGGGGCTGGATCAATGTTTCGTGCTATCTGGCACTCTGATAAAAATGTACTTTAAATTATTATTAGCTGATGCTTTCTATAAAATTCGAACAGATCTGAGTCGTTACTACTGAGCTGTTCGGATCGCAAATAATCTTTTATAAAATTGATATATTTACACCAATTGATCATTAAGTAGTGATCAAATTCATGTTCGACTAGTTTTTCAACCTAACTGAATTCTATCAGATAATTTGTAGCTGATACTGAGGTACAATATGTTAGGTATTTGCAGGCAGCTGACACTTGTTGTAAAGATTTATTTAAAATTTTGAGATGATTAGTGCCTTATATGACGGAAAAATTTTACTAATCAAGACCATTGAATACTGAACAATACAGTTCAATGATTGATGTGATAAGTTCAGATTATAGTGTTTTCTAATGTGAAGTTCAACCAAATCATGTACCATGCACGAAATAATACCAAAGAACACAATTGGATCAATAAAGCAGTAATTAAAAAGTATCATGTCACACAACCTAACTGTTGAGAATGTTAAATTCCCTGAAAACAACCTACTGATTATTTTGTAACCTTGATTTTATAAATTCGAATTCCCATTAAATCGAGACAAAAACTCTTAGATTTTTACTATTGATAAAGATGTTATATTCATATTATCCATTTACATTGTCAGTATGCTAAGTGCTTACTCTATTTTTAAAGCCTTTGTAGATATATTCATAGGTATGTGATTAGATGGTGGTTGGAGGTAGTCGACAGGAAACCCTGAACCCGGGTCTCGTGCTACTTGGCATTCGTCAGCAAGGTGTACCTGTAATCTTGAGGGAACTGGTGCTCTCTGGCGGATTCGATCCCTTGTCACCCAGCTTCACAATCAGAGACCTGCTGCAGAACTGAGATGAAATCACAATTGATTGATCACTGGGTGGTGATCAATGTCATACGTGTAGATTCCTTATTTTAGTGCAGACCAAATGCTATCCGCCAGATAGCACTAGTTCCCTCAAGATTACAGGTACACCTTGCTGACGAGTGCCAAGTAGCACGAAACCCGGGTTCAGGGTTTCCTGTCGACTACCTCCGACCACCATCTAATCTCAATATATAGTGCACACGGTGTCGAGTCACCTAAACTGGTGGCCACATTGCAACATGATCGATAGCATTCGATCTGCACTAAATAAGGACTAGACAAGCATGGCATTGATCACTACCCAGTGATCAATCAATTGTGATAGGTATGTGATGTTTGCTTGAATAACTGACTGACTTTACTAAAATCAATCTTATTTGATGTCTACCGATAAATCATCTTTATAAAATATGCTATCCAGATATCTGAATTGAAACCGTTAATATTACAACACACCACTAATATTGTGGTGTGAGCTACTTATATTGATATAAGTAGTATATAACGTGCGTCAAAAGAGCGTAAGGTCTGGCAGTAGAAGATGGCGAAGATCAAGAAAGGTAGAGCGAGAACATAATGGAATTTGTAAGAAAACCTATGAACAATGGAATGAGAGACAATGGATTGGTGTTTGCAACACAAACAGTCTGGTTTGATTTGATACATGAATATTTTGCAAATTGACGATTTACTATATGGTATTCGGATTTTATTGAGATAGTCTGTAAGTGTTGTGCTAAATACATTCGATTGTCCCCACCCGTGTTCTCGTTCACTACAATATGAGTAGTATATAAGTGATTAAAACTCAAATAAATTGCAGGAAATAAAAGTCAAATAGAAATCAAGGTTTCATGTAAAAAAAAAAGGAACAACTTTTTAGACTTTATTGAACGAACAAAAAAAAATACATACAGATTGAAGTCCATTCTCTGCTTTTTATTTGCCTCCAAAAATTCACGATGAAATACTCCCATATCTGGTATCTTATGTTCAGTTGAATTATTTTCTATATTTTTCATTTTCTCTTTTTCCAAAAATGCATTTTTTGCCTATAAGAATAATGATAATGATAAAAAAAGGAGACAAATTGCTTCTGTTGTATACAAAACATTCAATAAAACTATACCAGTCGCAGAAAAAATCATACAATAATAATAATATCTATTTTGTGTGCTAATAAGATGTGGCAACTTGGACCGATCCATATATGTGCCTGGTCCTACGTTGTAGCTGACTGACTGAATGATTTTGGGTAAATACTATTGAAATAAAGAATTGTATAAACATCTACCTTACTTTACATGTGTACCTACTTTCAACATACTGACAATCTAGGTCAAAATGGTATAAGGAACGATATAAGGAAGTTGATAAACCTAAAATATTTATACACTAATGATAACCATACTAAAAGACGGCTGTTTGATGGCATGGTATATCATATATACTCAAACCGCTTTGCAAGAGTTTTACACAGATCACAGAGATTACTTAACTAATAATTCTGATCGAATAAAAAGGATAATAATCTACACTAAATGAAGTATAAACACTAAGATAACAGGAATGCCGAATAACCAATGAGAATTCACATTGTTTCAATGATCAACCTCAGTTCAATTCTGTCAATGAAATTGGTTCTGATACCAATTCTTATAATTTGTAGCCATTTAGAACCCGGAGACAGTGGTTACATTTATTTTGAGTAGGTGTACATACGTAATATCAGAAAATTATTTATCGATCAAAACTGGCTATAAAAACCGATAAATATGGGAGAATTGTATGACATATGTGGTCGAATATCTGCGAGGCAACCAATGTGGAGATTTTGGAGGAAAACTTTCATGTTGATTGAAGATGTGTTCCTAGAATAGCAAACGTGATGTCCTAAACTAGACAATAACAACAACATGAGAAATTAGTTATATAGCTAAACTGTGTCGCGTGTAAGACAGTCATTACTCAGGCACACAGTATCGTTGCACATTATTAATCGATCAGTATATCTCACCCATTAATTTGACAATCTTTAGACGTATTTTCTTCACGAACTATATACGGCTAATTAATAAGACAATTGCTAACCGCTTCAGTAGTAAAGTGTTCAAGTAAATTATCGTTTTGAACTTGTCAGAAACTGTGATTGAGACTATTAACAACTATGATCAGTCATATCTGTCAAGTTACCTATCAATGCCACAGAACTTTAATGTGTAACCAAAGCAAAAAAAATTATCAGATTATTTAACCGACTTTACTTTATGCATGAAAAAGGGGTTTTTCGATCACCACTAACACAACACATGGTACATTATGTGTACAAGAAAAATACAGTTTCTAAATGAAAACTTAAAAAGACCTAACGATATAAGAAAAATAAACGTAGAAAATATATGGGATTGATTATTGTCAAATCTTCCAAAAGTCACTCTTTAGTAATAAAATTCATCTTAGCCAGTTGTTTGTAGTGCAAAAAACACGCAGTAATGAGTTGGGAATCAAGAGTAGATAGATTATCAATGAAGATAAAAATGGGTATAATCTTTAACTTAAATTCACTAGACACTAGTGATGAAGAAATTCAGTTCAAGTGGATAAACTTAGCATGGTACAACAGTTGATACAGTTATTAGGGACGCTAGCATTGATAGTTAAAATTCGTGAATCTTACTGATGTCGAAATAAGCATACCCATGAAACGTAACGGTATACGGTGTATGGATGCAGAAAACGAACAAAAAATATTGTTTACAAGCTATCTGTAGGTAGTGTCTAGAAAAATCTGAGTAATCATTCTCAAACTTCCTGACACTAGAAAATAACAAACCGTACCTTTGAATAAGAAAGATTGTATAATGACCAGTATTCGTTTAACCAACGCCAAGTTTCTTGACAAACGGTCTTATATTTTAATTCCAAATTAGTTTCATTCGGTTTAGATTTAAACCTTAATGGATGGATGTTTGAAGAGTACTGAGACGAATAAGGGTTGTGACAAGGCCAGGGTGGCAAGTCTTTTTTCGAATCCTGACTTTCCTTGGTTTTAACAGATATTTTAGAAAGCTGTTTGTAGTAACCCATTGGAATAAACTTGTCGCCGTAGGCAAGAGATTGTGAACTGATAGAATTAATAGATTTGAACACCGTACCGTAGGACCACATATTTCCTCGGAAATATCTGCTTTATTTCATCTTCAGGTCGACCGGTAGTTAACCTTTCACAACATAATAACAATATTGATAAAATTTGCCAACAGTCAAGAACTGTAGTTAACAAGTATAAAATAACCAAACCACTAACACGAGTGTAGGAAAGTTGTAGGACATATGGAGAGCAAAATGAACAGATTCACAATTGATTGATCACTGGGTGGTGATCAATGTCATATACATCAGTTCCTTCTTGTAGAAGATCGAATCCTATAGACCAGGTCGCAATGTGGTCGCTAATCTAGGTGACTCGACATTGTGTACACCATCTTATCTGAGTAAATTCTGTTAAAATTATAGTTAAAGCAGGAATGAAGTTAAGCTTAGAAAAATACGTGCCAGAAGAAGACTTGAATAAGTCTAGAAGAATAAACCACTTCATAAAACATATGATTAAAATAATCAACAGTGGTCTGCATTATGAAAAGCTTGTGATCCTCTTAGTAAATGGAATATTGAAATTAAGGAAATCTAGTACAGGAAACCTATCAATTTTAAACACCTTAACAATTGAAATAGACCAAATCTCACAATGCTGTTTTCTGGAACAAGACAACAAATCTATGGGTGTAGGTTCTACGTTAAGATGTTTACTAGTCCCACTTTCTGGGAATCACTAATTTAATGCATATAGACAATAGCATCTACTTTAAGGGAAATCAGCTACTTAATTTTTATCCAAGCTGTATAATTTGAACGTAAACCTTATGTTTACGTGCTCAATAATCAAACAGAATACACCAGACTTAAGTAAGTGGGATGCCTCAGATGTCAACCATAAATGAACAGAACTGTATATTGCCCTACGCATAGCCAATCACATGTTTTTATAGCATTATATCATTGAAATTTGAATGAAATAACTTGGACATCTCATAACTATTTGACTAAAATGTTCATCATATATTTAGCAAAAGAGCTACATATTGCATTTACATTTACAATATCAAAGTTTTTATTTCAAACATAGTTCCATCAACTTTGGTCTGGACAGTTGATGATTATCACTAGCTCTATTACAAAAGTGTGGTTTGAAGTTATGTATATAGCTATGAAAATAATTCAGTCTACCTAGCTGATAGTGCTTTACCACCATCGCTGATGATCTCTTGAGTCAACCTAACTGGGTTTGCTGCCTAGTAATAGACCAGGTGGGTGTGCAGAACACCAATAATCTCGGGGATCTCATTAATCGTGGTACTCTGGGAACTGAAAAAATCTCAACAAGGACACAAGTCCTTTTCAAATTTACATAACGTACAGCATCAATGAAATGAAAGTTTTGTCTACTAAACAGAGAGCACATAGCACAGCATACCTTTTGTCACTAAAAAGGTTTTGAGAAGAGACGTACAAAAGCTGCATTCGTTTGGTCGTAGGTGTTTCCGAAACACTAGTCAAATATAGTGGGAATACCGTATAATGTCTAAGTTATGAATAGAGCACTAAGTGATGATAAATTGGTTGCTACGCTTTAGTCCAATGAAAAGGTTAAGATGTATTACGCATACACATACATATAATGAAGCGACTATTATATAGGAGTTAAGCTATGAATGTGCATTAAACCATCTAACTTTCTCCTAATCGCTTCAAGATTATATTTAACCAGTAAGAATTTGCACCAGAACCTACGGTGTTCTGGAAATTGTAGTCCGCATAGCTTCCTTGTTTGGGTCTTATTGGTCCTATTTAAAATAGGGTGAAGACTTTTTAACATCATGGAAGCTCACCCTAACCTAAAAATCATTTAAAACCTTTAACAGGAACGCAACACTTCATGCAGAAATAGTGAGATTCAAATTAGAAAACGGCGCGCACACCATTAATCCCCATTCAAATGCGACGCTAATTTTCAGAAGCGTTCACCTGACCGAGAATAACGAGATTTTGAAAGAGCTTAGATGCCTTTCAATCAACCTACCATCAATTGAGGCAACCGAAAATGATGTATGGAATAACGAGTGTAGGTTCTAAATCAGGTATATCTCTTTTTCTTTCTGACTAAATAAGAACGAATCATAGAAAAAGAAAGATTTCAAAATCCCAGAGCGGACCATATACTAGTGGAGCGCAGATTTCCCTACTGAATCATCGACTCTTAAAACCTACTACTAGAAAACATGATATTTGCACTTTTGTTGGACTTACTCAAGAGAATATCAGACATGCAGAAGTATCCTGGAGAACTAGGTCATGTTTTCGAGCTTCTGTCCTTCATAAATAAATCTGGATTTGCATCTGATGCTAAGGCTAATACGGTCCAATAAATTTTTCCCACTCGCATTATGTCTTCAAGTATTATTAAAATCTAAGTAATGGAGCATAGATGAGTTAAAATAATTTTACTTAAGAGCCTATTGCAAGTTATCGTGTCATCGAATTGTAAAACACAAATATCGAAACAATCCCTTTGATGATCTGCTGGTCTACACTGCTTGCAAACAAACACGTTAAAGGCGTAACAATTACCAAAAAAACAAAACCAGCCGAAACTAATTGTTAAAATTATTTTGACAGATTAATTATGGATAAAATATGGCTTATTTATGCACAACACGTACTTCGCTTGGTGTAGTAAAAATAAGAAGCCCATACATGCACCCCAAACATAGTTATAATGGTACTAATTAAATCTAAACAGAACTTGGAGTTTTAAAATAAACTTTATTCACATAACAATCTACGAGTTGAAAGTCATTTCTAAAAATACAATTTGATTTAAATACAGACTAGGAGTGTTGTTCCATCATATTATGTGTCTGTCTTTTCATCCGGAACTTGATTTGAACTCTGAAACAATCCACAATAAAGGCCAGAAAGACTTACCACAATACGGTGAGAAACTAAAGGAAGTGGTTGTTTAAAGTCATTATTACAATTGGAAATTCCCATTCCCAGACCAAAACCAGTCCCGAAGATAAGTGGCCATGGACGCCCTAGGCAAGTTATATAATACGGGAACTTACTTTTAGCAAGCACCACGGAACATATGATTCCCCCAAATAAACCAGCACCTAGAAGCCGTTTTAGAAAACGTTACATCGAACCTGTTTTAATCAAGGTATCAGAAATACACCTATCAAGTTTAAACCCAAGTATATCTTCTGACTTGAAGTTCTCGCCCATCTAACTGAAACGCAAGTGTGGAAACAGGCGCTTCGATTTCAATCCTCAAATAGTGTAAATCGATTGGTTGGGAAGTTTGTAGGAATGTGGCACTCAGTGTTTTATTGAGTTCATCCTGAAGGTAAACTGTGTACTGAGGGTTTATGAATGACAGTATATAGAAGAATCAGGTGGAGAAGTGAACTATGTGTAAGCATATATTTTGCACATATATTTGATTATAGAAGCAATTGACAACAGTCAATCATAAGATCGTTATAAAATTAGGACAACTTGAAAATATTTCTACAGTCTCTGAACACTGATACTGTTCCCATCATTTTTACTGGTCAAACCTAGCTAAAGGCGCTCGATTACGAGTGGTCACGCCGTGCTATGCGAACATTAGCCAGCACAGACTTGACGCTTCCGGACGTATCAATAATCTCCCAAATATTTTTCAAACTTTTTGATTTCCAACTGCTGATTTTTCTGGGTTGGTACACTTCGATAATAAAGGTTTACGTTTAAAGGAGATTTCAAAGTAGAATACTCGTGGCATTAACACTATTACCGCATACCTAATGAATTTATTAAATGTTGGGTTGGTGACTCTTTTCAGGCATCCAAAAATGCGCTTGAAAGTTACTAGAACAAGGTTTTCTGTAAATCATTCTTATCAGTGACAAAATAAAACTTTGCGCTATTTAAAAGTTCACGATTTTTGCTTCTTAGTGGGTACATTTTTGTCATTCTTATCGTTCGCTACATATCAACACTGCTTTTTTCGATGAACGATTTTCAACCATAGTATAAAAAAGTATCGTATTTACAAAGGATTTAAAATGTCCATTATCTGTGCAGTAGAATTTTTTCGGGCTGTATGTCCAGTTTAATCTCCATGCTAAGCAGACTAAATTACTTAATCTTCGGGTTTTGTTCTCTTTAAACAATTGCGAACAGTACTCCTTGTGCGCAACATCACTTTAAGTTAATCGCACATAGTCTGTATTCTTTGCAGTAACAGTTTTCATACATATATACACTGATCAATAAACGACATCTCAAGACATATGTACAGTATGTCTTAGAAGTGCTTGCAGTAGTTTGTGCTCTACATTTACCCTCAGCTCTTAATAATAATAATAATAATAATAATAATAATAATAATAATAATAATAATAATAATGCATTTCTGCATGTGCAGGTACACACCGTTTTTTACAGGCATGATCTATAAATTACAACATTTGTTGGTTCACAAAATATTTCCCAACTTATTAAGTTTATAGTTGTCATAAAGTGAAATCGTAGAGCACTTGCTGTAAACTATGACCTTGAGAGGACACGTACATCAAGTTTGTTCCAAACGTCAGAAGTTTCATAGCTGTGCTCTCAGAGCAAGATTCTGAAGAAAAAAAGAGAAACAGAAGAGCAGCAAAGCACTTGTATATGAACTCCAAACGTTGCTTAACCTAGTGTAGTAGAACGGACAGAGGTATAATAAATTAGAATAAATTCATATTATGTCTTGTTAGTGAAATGAAGTCAGAGGCTCCATATTAGAGAATGTACTGATAAAGAACAATGAGTTGTGTCGTTTAACAAGTTGAAGTAAGCTCACACGAAGGGAAGGAAGTCAAGGCTGGTACAAGGAAAGCGGTTTATAAGAAGGGTGTGTATATAGAGGGTGAAGTGTTAAGAATATTAATGACTACATCTTTTATTGTCTATCATTTCTTTTTGTCCGATGCCAGCCACACAATCCTAGTGTAAAAATCCGAGTTAGCATGTTATAGGTTGTCTTAGTAGAATAGCTAATCCAGCATAATATTGGAAACATGAGTTTGAGTTGTGAGCGTAGGAAAACAATCTATATCACAGATTGATTGACTTATTCTCAATTATGAGGAGACTGAAACATACAAAATGTTCTGTTCTTGATGTTGTAGTGACTCACTTTTATCACGAGAACACGATTAGTTTATTAAAAACAATTATTATGATAGCCAATTGTACCAGTGACTTTTTTAATGCGCTTTTGCTTAATTGTGCTAAAAAGCATCCATTATTCTTACACTTTGATTGTGACCTCGCGCAAATTCGGTTACGCTCTGTAGTCAAGCTTGTATCCTGGCACAATCTCGGTATACTTTCGATACCACGAGATCCCCAACAAATATATCTCGACTTGGTTCATTAACTGCCTTCTGATATTTGGCTTCCGGGGGATTTTATGGATTTATTTGGCACGCATTTCTCTGTAGCGGTGTTCATAGTCAATTGGGATCGGACGCCACGCTACAATGTCTCTATCAGCCTCCAGGATACAAAATGTTGGTACAGTAATTTTCAAAGGGGATATTTCCCGTGTTTATGTTCCACAAAACAATGGTATAATCGTATAAAGTTCTAGCTCACGGAGAATTAATCAGGCAGCATGCTACTTGTTTTAGTCACTACACCAGTGAAAAAACAAGGTGATATCTTTGCGCGAGTAGCTGGAACCTATCACCATTAAGCAACTTTTCATGTTCTATGAATTAACAATTAACAACTGATTATCTACTTTATAGTGAAAAGTACATTTAATTACTTTATGACAACGAAAATAAAGGTCACGTTTCTCCTTATTTGTGGCACTTTATGCGTAACGTCATATATATTCAATATTTATTGTTTGCCTGTATCAATTACAGATGAACATAATAATGACATGTGATTAAAGATAAACATCCTTTTTGGCCGTTTTACAATAAGTGGGGTTTTTGAGCCAGACTATTACTCAACAAGTGTGAGATCTTCCATTTTGGAAAACATCTGTATGATTTGCAACCTTCCTTCAATAAAAGTGGAGTTCAAACACTGAAATCAGCGCACGATCTTATTTATTATTTATAAATATAGACGGCTAATTGGTTTTATGACGAAAAACTTATTCTCAACAGAGGCTAAGCTTACCCTTCACAAAATATGTGTACGATCTCCTCTTGAAAACTGCTTTTTCATTTTCTCTAATATGAATACCACAGACAATATAAGAACAGAAGATTTTCAAGGATGCTTTACGACAACTACTAGAAATTGACTTGACTCTCGATTACACAAATAGATGTAAGCACCTCGCTTTAGAACCTTTATGGCACTGTAGGCTAGGGAACAATCTAATGTTTCTCTACAAAGCAATATACGGACTCCCATTTCTAACCTCCTGCCCAACTATGATCCATGATCCAACCTATAGACTAAGAAACAACGCTTATACAACGCTTATCGCAAAACGCCGAAAACCAATGCGTTGTAAGCTGTTTACAGTGCGCATAGTTTATTATGGAATAGGTTGCCAATACCTATTCGTAACTAAGACACTATCACGAAGTGCAAAATACTAATAACACTATTACTTGACACTAAAACGTTTCTTCAAATATTTTCTGAATTTCCATCCACCAATGAGGCACTTTATCATAGACCACCTAATATCTGGACCGATCATGAATATAACGGACCCCAATTGTCAGTAATATGAATATAACACAATAACAGAACACATGGTTTACTCTCCCCCACTATTCATTAATTAGTCATGTCCTTATTCTCTCACTCCTAAATTTCAGATTCTAAATCTTTCTGATGGTTAAATTTCATTATTCTCGCTAAATGTCTTGTACTTTTTTCTATCACAAGTAGACAGATAACTCACTAATCTTATTGATGTCGATTAACTAAGGCTGTTCATAAGAAGCTTAAAGTGTCATAAATTCTTGTGAGTCACTCAATGTTTTGTTTTCTTATTCAGAAAATTTTACAATCCTAAACTCATACGCATTCTTTCATTTGCTCTCTATCTTATCATACATAAACCACATATAATCTAACCTGTGTTTTATAACTTATGCCGTTAGTTATCTTCATAGTAGTGTGATGTACTAAATGGATATCTAACCCACAATATTGGAGCTTTTACTATCCGATTTGCTTGTAACACATAACCGATAAAGATAGTGTATCCGAACAGAGAGCTTAGATAAAAGCAATATCCATACACACCACAAACGTAAGAGAGCGTAACATTGCAAAAGAAGGGACGATGGTATTACTGACCAGAAAACATGATGGTGGGGAGATAATTTCAATCCACTCACGTCTGTAGGACGGAACATGTTGTTAAATTACGGCTCCTTGTGATCAAGTAGAATTTCATGAACCAACAGTATTGATGTTAATTTATAATGCGAAATATCCCTTTGAATTGTGTTTGTGACGTTGAATTAGTTTCACTTCCTACCAATTAGTCCTTTTACAAGCAAAACCAGGCAGTTCGCTAATAGCGAAGCTTGCTCATTACAATGTAAAATAAATAAAAATGCGCTGAATTGGCTTCGACAAAAAAGGAAGATAGCCATTCGTGTCTCAGAATACTGTTTTAAGTACTACATCTTAGAACTTAACAGAATTCTATACCTTCAGCTTCTTTCTGAACCACCTCCATTTATACCATTCTTTGGCCATTCATACAATAGTCGCACTTGTTTTCTTTAACCTGTCTTTCAGCCCCCTTGAGATATGGAACGGGTGACTTCATCCCGCACCATCCTAAAAACCTTGGATATCCCAAAGGGACATAAGGTTGCGATTTCTAGAAGCTTGTAACAGCATAGGTTGGTTGGTTAAGAGTTGACCCCAAACAACCAAGCATATGCCAAAACAGACATTTCAAAGATTCATAGATAACCTACTTCGAGATATGCCATTTGCGCAGGGGTATATAGACGACTTGTTAATTGCCAGCCCCAATTTGCAATCACACGAAGAGCATGTACGAGCAGTGTTGAAAAGATTGAATGAACATGGAATAAACATACATCAAAGTAAGTGTGTTTTCGGTGTTCAAACTTTAGAATTTCTTGGTCACACAATAAGCCCAGAAGGGATTAAACCTATAAAAAAAGAAGTGGATACCATCAAACAATACCCGATACCTAGCTCTCTAACACAAATGAGAAGTTTTCTAGGTCTAA